ACTAAATTCTACACATGTTATACTCTACTTGCAACTAACAGCCACAGCTATTACTATCCTTGTCTATAATATAGATTTCAGAATTCAAGTTTAAAAAATGGTTTGATTTTCACATTTTTGAAGTTCACTAATTCCCCACCTACTGACTAAATGTATCGATTCGGCGGGAAATATAAAAGATGTTGCCTTACTAAACTAGTTTTAGGTAATTTTAACTCTGAAGGTTATGCTAACCTACATGTAGGCAGAATACCTGGCATGTCAGAAGCCACATGCCTCAGGTACGCACTTCATCCAAACTGCCCTTCAGTTATTATTCCAGCTTATGGCTAACTAACAAATTTGAACCTGAAAAAATATTATCTTTTTATAAATTTATTTATGAACTAAACCTCCTCTTCCTTGTGTTTACTAAAGCTCGTCTATGTGACATATCAGCTTTATCAGGGGGAGTATATTGAGGCTAGGCTTTAAGGATAATCAAAAACGAAGTATATGTGCTATAAGATCAGTGCTATAAAATTACTTCAAATCCAGAATAAACATAAATTGGAAATTCTCTTAATAAATAGTCTGCTAGGAGTGTGGTCACAGATGGTCTGAATTGTGCCAGTTGCTGATGGGATTTATATTTGATGAAATATTTTTTTCTTGGATATGGCATTGCTGAGTGAAGTATTCATGAGATGTTTATGTTCATTGATGTATATTCAAAATTAAAGAGAGTGGCATACAAGGGAGGTGTTCTTTAGAGAAATGTGTTTACAATATAAAGGTGTTCAATTTGTTTATTATGTCAGTGATACTATATAGAATTTTCTCTCCGGGGAAATATTTATTAGAGAAAGTATGTTCTTTTTATATACAAAGATGTATCTATGTAGCAATAGATGTAAATCTAATTCCTGAATAGTGGAGTGTTTGACATTGTTTCTTTAGCTTGGGATATTGGGAGGTTTTAATCCTTATGGCTTCAAGTGCGTGCATAGATTTTCTTTATCTTGCATTTTTTTAAACATTTGAACTTTCTCCCTTTGGCAATCATGATGTCATATTATTTACAATGAGGTGTTTATTAAAAGGTGTTTGCTGTTGTAGGTTTGTCACCACAGACAGAGGTGTTCATTGAGACAGGTTTTCCTGTACTCCAAATGTTAACTTTTGTTTACATGACAGGTAATGTCAAATTGCTCTACTTTATCTGAACCAGAGCAGCTACAGCCATTGATGCAAAAGTCTAAGAATAATTAGAAACATGTGTAACACTTATCCTTCAACATTTCAGTGAATCCAAGCATCCATATATGTTATGCAAAAATAACTTTTGGCAATCATGTAAAATTAAATATTGTTATTTAGTTTTTTGTAAAAAATATTTAACAATTTTGAAAGACTTTAATTTTGAATGGGGCTTGAATATAAATTATTGTTTAGAGGTCAGGAAAATGATTTTCAGTTGATAAATATGTGTATTAGATTTCGTGTGATAGTTATGTTTACTGTACCTGTTAAAAGAATGACTTCATACTTTTGGGAGTACAAGGAGAACACTGACACAGCCAGTGCCCACTCATTTATTTTTTATTTTTTGTTTATTTTTTTTATTTATTATAATCAATGTAACATATTTACAGGTTTTAGTGGCTATGACCCCCAAGAGGTAGTATTAGGTGCCAGAAACACCCTATGTTATAATGATGATTCTTTGAATAAACATGCATTTGTTATAAAAACATTTGGGACAAGACACCATTGCTAACATGGTTTGTTCGCAATGTCTGTGTACTCAATATTGATTTATCCATAGATTCATTATCCATTAATGCAAATCAAAGTTCTATATATAATCAGAAATTAGATATGATAACAAACATCTAGAACATAAAAGCTCATTCTGAAGCACTGGCGTTTAAGTGGAAAGTCTCATCACATCATGTACTGCTGAAGGTCTTAAAGGCCTATAGTAAAGTGGTGATGCTGACATGGGAGTTATTACATAGAATCTGGATGTGTTCTCCGCGTACAGACTGAACATATCCAATTTTTCATTCTGAATTATCAGAGTCTCTCTTTATCTAAAGCTCTGTTCAGAGGGATAGTAGTGACTGTGGATCCCACAATAGAACATATCTTGTCTATAAACATTGATTATTTGTTAATCAGCAGGATATAATTGTAATTCATCAGACATGTAAGGAATGAAAGAACAAAGGCACCTTAACGTTGACCTTTTTGTATATTACTTTTGTATATCAAATTCAATATGTTCAGTTAGGTTTCATTGATCTTTTGCATTTGTTTTTTTAAGTACCATTATAATTGCACAGTGATTGTAAACATAGAATCAAAGTCGATTGGCCTAAAGATGGTAAAATATTTCTTTCTCCCATCAATTCAATTCAGTTATCATGTTTATCAACAATATTTCACTGACCATTGAATTTTGTTATATTGTGATTGTTTCCGAATAGTCTTTAACCAAAGAATATCCAGCATCCATTAGACTCTATTGTTAAAATTCCTCAAACAGATAATACATGAAATAAGGCATTTTCCTGGCACTTATATGTGACATATTGAAGCTGACATTTAAAAAATCACATTCAGAAAGAAATGCCCCAAGAGAAATACATAAATAAGTTTATTTTACATCATCATTTACAAATCGTACATTTGCATTCACAGGTTGTATTCTGTCTGGAGGGATGTTTCTTAGTATATCAGTCTTGATCAGTCTGGAATGATGGGTAACTTCCGAAGCAGCCATTTTGGATTTTTTTCGCATCCTGGCAGTCATATGTCATAGGTCGTTTTAATTGCACTTACTCATAGTGCTATGTTGTCTTCATCTTGTATTGATGGGTGTCTGTGCACTTGTATTGGAGGGCCCACATAAATCTCATCAAAATTCTAGGAAAACAGCTTACCTGCTCAACTCGAAAATTTTACAGATCCAAGAGCAGATTAGTGACAAGATCTAATTAGGTTTTGAGTATGCTAGGTAAAATACTTGGTGGCCATTTTGAATTTTTGTTTCCAAAATGTGTGATATTTATCATTGAGTATCTCATTATATAGGTTGATCAGAGTTTCTGGCACCAGTTGCAACTACATCATACCCTTCCATATGCATGATGTGAGAGAATGTGGTGGTGAACAGGTATTAACCAAGTATCTCCTCCAACTGTGTAGCTAGCTAATTGAGGCAATGTTATGGGGTGTAATATGGTCACATTATACATTAGAGGTATTGACACTTTGAGTTTGAAATACATGAGGATTAATTGATATCTGAGAGATACCTGAACTATATGTAATTATGATACCTGAAATTTAAGACACATTTGTGATAATTGATACCTGAAGTATGACACATATTTGTGATAATTGATATCTGAAGTATGACACACATTTAAAAGAATTTTATGATAATTAACACTTCTAGTATGAGCCCTTTTTGTGATGATTGATACCTGAGATATTAGACACTTTGTTAATATGTGACATCTGAAAATTTTATATAGTGGTAAAAATAAACTCCAATCGATTAATTTCCTGTTTCGGAAATTGCCTTGGCAATGGATAATTGAGAGATTTGCTAATAAGAAAGCAATGGGTGAAAAACTAAACACAGATGCGAATAGATGAGGTTCCCTTCTGGCACTAATAAACATTGTTTAATCTAAATTGATCTGAGTTAATCAAGTCACAAATGAATTAATCAATGCAAGGATTAAAAAAGAGGGGAAGGCTATGAAGATATGAATTATTAACAGTTTTATGTTTCTAATTGTTTATCTAAAATTGGTGTTCATTAAGTAGAAGCACGCGGTCCCAACTTCGACCGTTAATTTGAATTTTTGACCTACAGGATGTTTGAAAATCAAGGATTACGAGTCTCATACTGCACCGTTTTTCTTCAAACTTGTTCCATTCAAAGCATAACAAAAATCCCTTTCAGATGATACATTATTCTCTTAAACAGAGTCCCTACTTCCAGCGGCATTTTGGTCCCCAGCTGTAAGAACGCCTTCTAACAGCTGGGGACCAAAACGCTGCTAGAACGAGGGATTCTTTACAATAAAGTGATGCACCGACAGAAAGGCAATGTTGTTTTGCTTTTAATGGTATAAGTTTGAAGAAAAACGGTACAGTATGAGACTCGCAATCCTTGATTTTCAAGCATCTGGTAGGTCAAAAATTCAAATTAACGGTCAAAGTTAGGACCACGTGAGAAGGGTGCAAAAATATATTATTGAAGATCTCCCCTCATGATATTTGGCCCTTTTTGAAAATACTACTCCCCTAGCCTACCAATGATTGTAAATGAATTAACTACAAACCCTCATGACCCAGATGGCCAGCTCATATGTTCTATTGGTCTATGATTATGTGCTTTTTATTCATGACATAGCATGAAAACATTAAAATTAGAAAATAAACAAACTTGACCTTTAAAATAGTACTATGACCTTGGGAAAAACAAAACTGATTAATAGCAGTATGTTAGTAATGGCTACTTTTTCATTTGCATTTTTCTAGGATATTCATAAATTATTTATACTTCTCTAGGAGTATCAATATATAAACCAAGGCAGATATAAAGTTGTTGGATCTATTGTATTGATTGTATTGTCTAAATCCAATTGTAGTTCAGTATACATGATCACATGTCTATGTATTGTTTTTTCTCTGCAAGGATGTATTACTCCATATGTATAGGGCATATGTATTAATATATGGATAGGAGTGCTCACATGCTGTTAGTTGTGAAGACTGAGACAAACTGCTCTGAAACTGATATATTGAAACTAGAGCACTTGGGAAAACATGATCTTAGTAAACATTTTATTGCATTTTAAAGCTACTCACAGTCATATGAACTGGGTGTAACCATTGCTAACATAAGCGAGGATCATTTAAGCATATCACTTACTGATTTAAGCATAGTACTATCTGATTTAAGCACATCACTAAACTGTGTGTGTTTCTCATTGCAGAATGTCTGTTGAAATGGAGCAAGGAGATAATATAGAGGATGTGGTGCGAAGAAATAAGTAAGTGACTTCAATTTATTCTATAGTTACATGTATGTCTGGGGAATATCCATTCAGTTCAAATTAGATACTAGCAATGCAAAATTTTCTTAATTATTTCACCACCACAAGTGGTGACATACTGTTATAGTTACCAACTTTTTGTGGATAGTGTTTGCCATTTGGTGGTTGGTATTTCGCATTCAATGTCTGTGACAAATGGCAGGTGATGACACTTTGCATGTTAATCTCTTGTCTAACTTTCAAGTGGGTGCAAATAGGTTTTCAGGTGGGAACAAACCTACCCAGCATGCTCATAATAATTCTAGTAAGTACCCCGTATGGCTGTATCTGTACTATCACTTCAGGAACTGTATAATAAAGCAGGAAGTAGGTCTATAGCTAGGAGACTTAAGATATTTTGGCTTTTGGTTGAGTCCCTTACTCATATATTTTCTAATTAATTTATGACTCCACAGTGGATTCTGATTTGGATTTTGAGATAATTAAATCAATAGTAAACTTGTTCATGTCAAACCCTAAAATCTATTCTCAAAATGCATAAGAGATTTTACATGGCACCTGCTTTCTTTCTGAAGTGATGCTGCCCCTTGTTAGCCTATGCACTATCCCTGGTTGGTTATAACCCCTGATATGATCTAAACCTTTGGTATTTCATGATTGATATAATTTCCCTTAGTCTGAAATCTCTATCTGTCTATAGATATTAGTTTGTGTTTTACCCTTGAGGCAGCTCCCTGGTTCTACTCAGATTGTGATTCCAACATTTTTCTATTTCATGACCCTTGATTCTACTCCTGACCTTTGATTCTGCCCCTGACCCTTTATTCTGCCCCTGACCCTAGATTCTGCTCAGACACTTGATTCTACCCCTGTCCTTTGATTCTTCCCCTGATTCCTGTTCCCACACTGGTTTCTCAGCCTGAATGTGGTTTTAGGAAATATATGAGACAAGGGAAATCTTTATAAAGCTCAGTGATATTAAGCAGAGGCTCAATGTCTGCTAATATATCTGAATGAAAGTCAGCTTGATTATATCATTCAAGAGCAAGACCAATATACTATGCCTTAGTCAGCAAATTAACGTAATCATAAATTTTCATTGGTTTTCATTTGGCATAAATGTTTTGTCTGGTGGCTTAAGAATTGTATTACAGGATGACGATGACGCAAAGCAGCCATCCATCAGTATAATAAGTGCTGGGACACAATGACATCTTATTCCAGATCTAGACCAATATTTCAAGATGGACAAGATGGGAAAATCAAATGTAGATTTGAACTAGCCACAGGCATATCATGCAGGTTTTGCATCAAATTTCAGAGAAATATGACTCCATTTTGTCTATTTGTTGTTCAATAAGGAGAAGACAGAGAAGAGGGAACAACATACATGTGCTATGATGAGGCTATGCAGAATATAATTCACAATTATGTCCAATTCACTAGCCCCGAAGATTACAATTCATGATATACAGTAAAACCTGACTAATCTGAACACCACCAGTTTTTAACATGGAAATCTGGTAGATTAAGAAATGGAACTGCAAAAATGTTCTCATTTAGAAATATCCAGGTTTTACTGTACACTGTGATATGTAAAGCAGTAACAAGTTAAAAAGATAAAAAATAAATTAAGAATCTACAGCAGCCATGCATCATGTTTTACAGTAATAATGCTTAGTATTTCAGTCATGGGAGTACAATCAGTTTTAATGAAATGGATAGTGTGCACTTTGTATTTAATGTTACATCCATTTACATCATTTCTTTGAGGTTAACATAGGGAAGAGCAAAATTATCTATGAGTGAAGCACTCTGGGGGATCAGACATATGATTGATGATCACTCTAGCATAGTTAACAGCCAACAGAATACTGTATTCTGCTTAGAATAACCTATTCTGGTAATTGGCTCCCTGTATACTGTTTAATGTGTCTCTCTCTCCTTCATATGAGTAGGCTTATGGAACATGGTGTTCTGCCCAACAATCGTTAAAATGTATTTTCATCCGAATGAAAATATCCAAAATTTTGTATTCTTTGAATGTAAAGAACTCACTTGAAATAACCAGTACTCCTTTGATTTCATACATTAATGCAAGAAATTGGCAAATTGTCATCATCAATTGATTTGTAGGTACAGCTGTACTTTAATATGAACTTTTACAATTGGCAGTTATTTCAGTCAATCAATAGTGAACTGGTAAATTGACGGAGCAAGTGTTCTTGATTCTTAGAAAAGATAATATGGCAAATGGCCCTTTATACTTCTGAAGAAAGCAATCAAATGTGGCAATACAGATGTTATTTCCATTTTACAAGCCTTTGGATCAGCACCCAGGGAATTGACTGCTCAAATTTTTCTTCAATATTCTTTATTTTATTTGAAGGATATACAGTATTCTTCAGTCAGTATTTAAAGAATAAAATAATGAAATTGTCTGATTTTTTCAATGCAACTGCTTTCTTAACTTATGAAAAACCTTCAAATCAAAAAGCATCAACATTTGGAAAAAAACAAAAAAAGGAAATTAAATTGGCCTATCCTTAGCAGGATTGCATTTGACTTACATCAAATAAAGCAATCATGCATGGAAGAGATAGTACAGAATTAGAATTTTTAGCCAATGTAATCTTTGCAGTTGTTCAATTTTGTAATTTTTATATAGTTTTCATGTTATTCTTCTACTTTTCTACTTGATTTTGAAATGTTTGTGTACTCCATGGATTGTATGATTTAACATTGTACAATTGACAGATATACAAATTCTTGTTTTACAGTATTTCTCTGTTTTGCTATTGCCTTGTATAGTATGTCCTCATATCCCCCAGGCAAGTGTTGCTACAACAATTAACCTGATTATTTCTGGAATATACATTTGCATTAGGATTCATCTTGTCTGTCAAGGTCCTTGTGATAGTGAACAAACTGATTACAGGAAAAGCAGACCCATAGCCAGGATTTGCCTAGGGGGTTCACTTTTTGGAAAATTCCAGGGGGGTTCACTTTTGACAATTTTGGTCCAAAAATGGCCAAAATCACTTAAAAAGTGGTCAGACTGGTGAAAAACTGCATGATTTTGAAAGAATTTTGGCCAGGGGGGTTTGCTCGAACTCCCCCTGGCTATGGGCCTGAAAAGTGTCATCATGTGAGATCACATTGTATGGTTCATATGTATTTTATGGGTTTTAGTTAATGTCGCTTTCAAATGTTGTCCTTTATGGTGATGAAGGTTCAAGATTTAGATGATTTCAATTGATATCTAAAAGCATCTTAAGGTTTTTGACACAAGCCATCCATAAAATACCTGATTTAGAAATAAAAGGAATTTTCTTTAGTTTCTATTCATGTAGATTTCTCATAAAGCCATATCATGTGAGATACTTTTGTCATATCAAACAGATGCAAATTTTATTTATTAACAAATTCTATGGTATTACTATCATCATGAATTTCCTTTTTATTCATGCTCATCTTACCAAACTGATATATAGCAATAAAAATTATAAACCAACTAAGGAGTAGACCCCTTGAGCTATGTATGGGCAATAGCAAAAGGCTGTGAGTGGATCCCCTTGGTTTTTGTCCCATGCTCACCTAGTCATGAAATATTCTCACCAGTCTATGAGAGTATTATATAACATGGACGTGTTGTCTAATCACTGATGATTAGGTGAGCCTAAGTCTGTGAGTGAACCCCCTGGCCCCTGGGCTATGGCTATGTCTGTGTACATGCATGAGACTAAGTGGCACCCCCTAAGCTATGTCTGTGCATCAGCCAACAGAATCATAATATTTTGCCAAGAAGATTGCATTAGTTGAGCTGACTCATACTTGAGGTCATCTTGGCCTTAAAGGTTCTACTCCAGCCCTCTCATCTGATTTTCTATAATTTCTCATCTTGATTCTTAAGGTTTTAGTTGCTCCAACTTCAAGATGATCATTTCTATTAATGATTTATATGATTCGCTTTGTGTAGGTTAATGTCTTCATTCTTGTTCTTATGAATGGTTTCACAATTTTTAAACATACCCCGTTTATTTAATGGCAACTGAATGCCAAAGTTTGTCTAATGAAGTTCATGATGGATCTTAATCCCCCCCCCCCCAATACTTTGCTATAATCTGACCTGCCAGGTTATCTCAGGTGAGCTATCATGTAATCTATAATTACAGAAATATCTCCTTATTACATTATATTATACCAAGTTCAACAGTTCAATTGCAGCAAATCGCTATATAGTAAATAATGGAGTCTAGTATATCATATTGAAGAACAATCATAATGATTATCCTAAATTATATGTGAATCGTTGATATCACATATTACACAATATCACATTATTAATTGGTAGAGTGTTTTGTTTAATAGCCTCTCACACATATTCATAAAGATAGAAATGAAAAGGAGTTGTTAATATAAACATAATATTTTTCATTTTTAGTTATTGGTTATTTCAGTTACATAGATTCTTCATGGTTCAGACATGATGTCTTTATCGTCATGCCTAAAAGCAGTATAGCATCCAGTTTTGAAAAAAAATTATTATATTATTTTTGTTTTTAAGGGCTGTAGGGTGTGCATGCCTAAACTAAAACTGACATTAATTTATGAAGCTTATATTAAGCATCTTATATTTTTCTAAATTGCTCGTAAAAGTAAGTAAGTACTGTAATGTAATATGTAAGCTTGAAAGATGATTAAATCATGCAAATGGGAGGCAGGTAAGTAGGCTTTGTGTAGGAAGCGCAGGAAATTGATATAAAGGTATATCAGCAAAGCGAGCATTAACTAAGTGCCAATGTAGGGGATTCTCACGGAGATTAGCATATATTATGCAGTATAATGTTAGGGGATTTGCATATATTATACAGCTACTGTATATACATGTACATGATATAGTATTTGTATTTTATTACCTATTCAGAAGCTTCCTTGTAGGCAAGAAAAAAATATTTTCTCCTTTTCTGTCATATTATCATTATATACTTATATTAGTACCTCAGGGACTTTTTAGGTCAACAGAGCCACCAAAAGAATGTATTTTACTTCATATACTGATCTACTTCATATCCTTTAACCTGTTATTTTGCTTATTTTTTCAGGGTGGCAGTGAAAAACCAGGAGAATCCCTTTTCACCAGATGGGGAACTCAGTCACAAGGGGGACGAGATAGTGAAACGTTCAACAATAACACGAAATGAGGTGATAATATATGACCCTGACCTTGTACCAGAGGAGGTCGAGGTCAGTGAAACTGTCGAAGCCGTAGAGGCAACCCCCAATGCTAGTCAGCCCTCCAGGCCAAATGACTTGCCTAAGGAGAATGGTAAAGACACTACTACCCCACAAGAGGTAGATGTGGAGGTCAAAGACAATGAAGCTGAGACTCCAGGACATGCAGAAAAAGTTACTCTACCAAAAGACAAAGGGAAATGTAAATGCTGCGTTATTCAGTAGCATGATGTTGTGGAAGTAGTTAGCAGCCCTTGTCTATAACATACTATAAAAAATATAATGGTAGGATGTAATCTCAAGCAACTAGCAGACATAGAATAATAATAATTAGCGGACTAACTGCTAGTGCTCCTCGCTGCCATGTGTCCACACACTTTCAGGACGTATTAGCTAAAACTAGGATTTCTGAAACAATGAGGATGGCGGTTGGCAACTAGTGTTTCTCAAACAATGGGAATGGTGACTAGTGTTTCTCAAACAATGGGAATGGTGACTAGTGTTTCTCAAACAATGGGAATGGTGACTAGTGTTTCCCAAAACATGGGAATGGTGACTAGTGTTTCTTAATACATGGGAATGGTGACTAGTGTTTCTTTTACATTACTCTAACCATGGGAATTGTTGAGTAATTTACATCTATGGACATGATGAACTTTCCTATGTGCTTTCATAAAACCATCATTGGCCGTAGAACTAGCAGCTTTTCTTTGGGACTAGAACCAGTAGCTGGTCCAGTGAGATCTCAAAAGGCCTTGAAAATAAAAAGTTCCCTGTGTGACTACCACTGAATAATCAAAGGAGCGCCACATGTTCCAGAAAGTCTACACCGGATTAGATGTATAAATTATGGATGTTCATGAGACAAAGAGCAACTGATTCTTGATGATTACATGGATATACTTTATACAGTAACATATGACTCGCCTATATTGTAGATTGGTCATAAATGATCAACCCTGCAAGGAGACACTGGTTGCCATAGCAACTTATAAATATTCTCTTTTGGAAAGGGAGTTTTATCCATCCGTATGCCAATTACGCATTTATCATTTTATCATCACAACGCTTTCAATGTATAAATATCTGCTTAAAGCATGTACATAAACAATATATTCTTTTAAAAGATTATATAAATCATAATACTGTACTCATTCATGATCATGTTTTTATCCATGGCTTTCATGGAAAGGTTTCATCATTTCTCGATGTGGATGCTCGGTGAATTATATTGTGTAGAACTCAGATTGAGGTCATCTAAAATCAAATAGCAGATCACTTGCAGATTATTGCTTAAATTATGAGCTTATTCAATTGTAATACTTTTCCCCCCAGAATTGGTTGGAACATGCACATTTTGATCATTTTTCTCGTGTGTGGGGTCAAGGTTGTTTTAGTATGAATAACTGAGGTTAGAGTGATACACTAGAATTATATTGGAACACCCAAACCCTCACACATTAACCTACCAAGGGCAAAAATACTGTCATTAGCTCTCTGAAGCTTGTTTCTCTCCCTGGAATCTGTTTCTTTCCATTGGTGGACTGTTAATAAGTATCCATCGAAATGTTTGTTGATTTGTGCTTGAATAATTAGGTTAATTATATGCTTTATTGTATACTATGAGTCATTGATCATTTTAAAGATCACTGTAACATTTGTGTGAGATATAATACAGTACATGTGTACTCAGATATGATGTGTTAAACTGATTCAGAGTAGACCGAGTAAAGCCCCATCTTTAGTTAAAAAGCACCAGAATGTTTTAAGATTACCAGGTATTCAGACATTTAACATGTGGGGTACATTTCCAATTTCAAGTTCCTAAATGAACTCAAAAGGTGTCTGATAAATGATTACTTTGTTTGGGAGAATATATAAAATCAATCTCCCCTCTGTTTAGATGATGATATTCGTAGAACTGAAAGACTCTGAAATTTTTTTTGTCAGATATAGTCTTGTTTCGGCCCCTTGTGACCCCCTTACACACTCACCCCCTTTGGGGGTAAGGACTTGATGCAAAACTATATCTGTTAATAAATATATACATGTATGACTATATGATACAATGTAGACCAGTATAATAGTTTGTACAGACATAGTACTATGTAGAAAACATATTTGGTGCCAATTTGGTGTAAAATATAGAATTCTAGTAATATGAGCTATTTTAGAGTCAAGACAGAAACTGTTTACAAGTTGATGGAAATCTCTTTTATTAATATGATTGATACAGGTAAATGATTTATGATTTTACTGCACCATTTTATTGATAGCTTTTATTCTTCATCTGATTGTCATCAGTTTTTAAAAGATAAAGAAAAATGGATTAGTCATAATGTCACATACTAAATACAGTTCTGCTCAGAAAATGAAACTAGATAGACTGATACATGATGTCCGTAGATTAGGTATAATATATAGATTAAATACACCATGCAAAATTAGTCCAAGTTTGATGATCTCCAAGAAGACGTTTTATCTTGCCTAGCGATATGATATTTACATGCCATATTTCTCTATATTCCTTTCATAATGGCTTCAGCTTCTAGCAAAATTACGGGGGCGTATCTATGGAGCTGTATATATTACCTAGATAAAAAAAACATTATCAAGCAAAATTATTATGAGCAAATAATCCATTAGGCTTTATCAATCAATCAATGTAATTGCAATTTGTTCATTTATGAACTCATGCACAGTTATTGTATTTCGAACAGCACGTGTTTCATTCTTGGGATTATTATCGATATTCTTTGATAAATCCTGTGAACAGTGTCTGGTAGAAGTGGACCTGGAGTCAGTTTCTCAAAAATGTAACTTATTACTGAAATACAGCTGTCTTTCGTAGGTATTATGTAATATTGATAATGAAAAATGCATCTTTCATGAATCATAATTAATGATATATTTGAGATTCCTGATCTGAGGTGAAGCAGTTATCTCCCCGGGATTTTTTCTAAGGTGGGTGCAAAATTCTCATTTTCACAATTCAGACCAAAATTGGTCAAAATATGCCAATTTTTCATTTTCAAGTGGGTGCAAATGGATTTTGAGGTGGGTGTAAGCCTATTTTAAAGATTTCAGGTGGGTGCTGCGCCCACTTGGTTTAATGCTGGGGAGATCACTGTGAAGTGATGTTATAACATTGTTATCTCAAGATAAACACTGTGAACATGATATATTTTCCAATTTCTAATGAGATTTTACTGTGCATAGCACTTGAACACCTGTGTGGTCTTGTTTACTATTATGATACATGCATTACTATGTGTTACAAGCACCTACATGATATGGTGATGTTCAAATCATTATAGCATCCTTTGTACATCATATGATACTTCATATTATATGATTAGTTTGCCATCGTTGAAACACAGAACTGAAACACAAGCTAGAAAGCACGAGTGTTTTTTTTGTTATGATTGATATAGTAATAAGTAAAATCTTATTTTCAAAATCTTTTAAATAAATTAATCATGTGTTAGGAACTGTATTTTAGTTTCACTCTCTGAACAGTTTCATAGTTCATATTTTGCATGTTTTTACAGAAAACATGCATTTTATTTATTGAATTCAAATGTGAAAATGTGTATTCACATTGTTTTTTTCATGTTTGCCACAACATTTTAAAATGTTATAAATATTTGAGGATTTGAACGAAGTGTGATATTACATTGTAGAACTTCCTTTTATCTTGTACATGTATGTATTGTAGAATAAAAACTTCACAGAATATCCATGTTTTTCAACGAAGCAACATTTTTCACATAAAGCAAAAAGTCTTCATTTTTAATTTTACAAACACAATTATTTAGATCAGATTAACATTTAATGTGGTCTGCAAATGATGTTTGAAAAACATGTGTATTTTGTTTTGGAAGCTTGCGAGATACATGTAAGCATGTAAGCTGCTGTAGAATAATCTCTATAAAGTATATGAGCTTGTGCAATAAACTTGTAGTAACCAGTATACACAGCTGTCACTGTTATTTTATGATACGATGATTCATCACTAGAAAATGAGAAAATCTGATCATTTTAGTTTTACTATTTTGTCTATAATAGTCTTGCGTCAGACCCTTGTGACTTCATTTCCTCAGGGAGAGGGGTAGGTATGTGGGGGAAGGGGAGTATCTAGAGGCTATGCAAGGCCAGTATTCAAGGACTGTAAATAGTCTAATAGATCATCAATAATTATCCCAATGAACGGAGTTCGGTAGGGATATAGTGAAGCCCTCCCACTCTGTTTATCCATTGGTTAATAGTTGTACGCAACAAAAATATTTCCAAGATGGCCGCCATTTTAAAAATGTTATTGTTTGAAATTTTGATAGTATATTCACAAAATCTATCTCATATTCTGAGTTTTTCACCAAGACCCTCAGGTGCCGTGTGGGGGGATCGGGAAAACAGTAATTTGCGTTAATTGTGAGATCTTTCTAAAGTATAGCTTTATTATACTCAAATGAAAGGCAATTTAGAGTAGATTGCAAACATTGTATCGTTTTTTTTGTAATTTGGGCCTCGTAAAATTCAAAATGGCCGTCTTATGTGAGCTTTAGCAATAATTTTCTGATCTCTTCAAAGTATGGCTATATTATACTCAAATAGATGAAAGTTTAGAGTAGATCATTATTACGGTATTGTTTTTCTGATTTGTGCCTCGGGAAATTTAAAATGGCTGCCAACAGGAATTTGCGTTAATTTTGAGATCTTTCTGAGGTATAGCTTTATTATACTTAAACGAAAGGCAATTTATAGTAGATTGCACATATTGTATTGTTTTTCCGATTTGGGCCTCGTAAAATTCAAAATGGTCACCTAATGTTGGATTTCGCAATAATTTTCAGATCTCTTCAAAGTATGGCTATATTATTATCAAATTGAATAAAATGTGGGGCCGATCACTGTTATGGTATTGTTTTCTGATAATTCTCTAAATGTTATTATTTTTTGTGACAAATACAGATTCATATATTATGGTGTTCGTTGGGATTTGCTACTCCGTGGAGATGTTGCTTTCTAGTTCGCCATGCCCATTTAATCATTAATTGAAGAAAATGTTCAAAATATTTTTTAAAATTAGTCTGAAAGCTTGTAACACTATAACATGGGCTTTCAAGATACATTTTTATGAGTTTGTTGTGCTGGTTCTTTTTGCCCTTTTTGGGAAGAATGGATATCTTCTCTCAATTTAGAAAACTCATTCAATTAATTTCTAGAGTCTACTGATTGCAAATCAATAATGAGGTACGGAGATACACCTGATATAAAAATATTTCTGGCATCAAACTCATTTCCTCTATAATTTATAATTCATATCCTACATGAGTGTCAGATTGGAAGGTTTACATTCTATTCAAATAAAACAATACATTGAGAGATAAACCCAGCTATTTATCAACCACTAAGGTGGGGGTTAGAAGTTTGCAAGAAAATATTGCAGGTTAAGCACTTTTTAA